CACCGTGTTGAGTTGCGCTTTTGAGTTGTTGCCACTCTCTTAGTTAATGGGTTATAACACTCGCACTCCGCCAACTCCTCAAAATTCGCCGAGTTACCCAGACTTAAATCAGAGTGTTTTGGCTCTATTCCAGTGTCGTGCCCAAAGGGCTTGACACAACTTCGACAGCCCGAAGTGTCTAATGCATTTGTTGTGCTCAGCCATTCAGGCACGAAGGATACATTTGTATGTCACTAAATGACTGGGCATCGTTCCATCGCCAGTAGMTYCTTTTGCCTCTCGCCACTTTTTTGTGGAAAAAATACATTTTTGAAGCGCATTTTAAGAGGAAACACTCATAGYCGAAGTTGAAAGAATTTTCAAATAATCCCCGATAAYATCGCAGTAAGACAAAACTTTCAAAATCCACAGATTAATGTGCGCTATTTCCAACACACGAGTTGGCTGCGTTCTATTCCACTCGGTTTGGCCAAMCTGAATTTTTAGAAATTTCGAGGAATTTACACATAGTATGTTTTAAATTTGAGTTGCCCTCTGACTGATGGCAAAGGCAAACCTTTTCCCATGCTGAGAAGAAAGTGCGTTTCCAATACAATTTACAATCGATATCCAGCCTTACTCAATTTGGCAGAAATAGTTTTTTAATTAGCTGCAACTTAAATTTAACTTCTCTTGAACCAGTGTCGAGGCAAAAACGCTGTAACCTTGTCAAATAATTAGTGTTTGCCAAAAAACATCTCTGTCGTCCTCGAAAATCGCAGCTAAATTTTTAATCGCAAAAAATCGCTTGTGCTTCTGGTCGCTCGAAACTTCAAAAACGGAAGAAATTATCTTTAACGCCACTGAATGAAATTTGACTACTGACAGTAGGCCTGGGTAACACTGTGTTGAGTTACGCTCTAGAGTTGTTGCCGCTCTCTGAACTAATGAGTTATAACTCAATTATCAAAGTGTATTAAAGCTTTACGAGACCCGACTGGAACAACACTCCAAATGTAACGAAATAGTAAATTACATAATATTGCAAGGAACACTTTACGTACGAATGGAGAAGTTGCGCACGATGCCGCGAAGCAGCGAGTGCGTAATTGCATTACAACTCGAATTATGTACCATACTTGGATTGCCGTGCATTTGGTTTACAATGAGTAAAATGCAACTTACTAAGATGGTAGGTAGTGTGTTTTATACTGCTTTCTGTAGTGGTGGTAGGTAAAGAAAAAGTTTTTCCAGCCACAGAACTGAGTTACTGCGCGGGTGCGTTGGGCTGGCGCACCACGCAATTTGCGCAGCACTGCGCCATCGTCTAACATTCACTGAGTTACCCAGTGCTAACTGAGAGGCTATTTATCATGAAAGACGCCAGTGACGACTAAGGCTTTTCCTGGGGAGGTATTTCGCACTGGTTTTTTTCCCAAGCAAACTCAGGATTAGCGGTGAAAGGATGGAACTTAGCCTGTTGTTTCGCTGGGTTCACAGATAGTTTGAATATACTACTATAAATAAGAATTATAGGTAGATAACTGTTAACTCCAAATCGGGATTGAGACGTATCTTGTTGAGACACCGTTGATGATTGTAGCTTGTAGTTGATTTTGATACATTTACAAATTCTTATAATCTTATAATAATCAATTAAATCCATTTATTGTTCAATTTCAACACAATAACTCACTATATCCAAAGAGCCCCGAAGATGCCAACTCGCCGTTTATAACCAAAGTGTAGTACAGGATGACCTTTAAATATCTTGGAGCAAACATCACGAGTAACAGGAATCTAAAAGAGGAAGTAAGGAATCAAACATCAAAAGCCGCTCTAATATCGGGGTACTTACGAGACATCATCTGGAGAAACAAGCACATGAGTATAGGGAGTAA